CATCTCCCACATCTGGGACCCTGCCACCAGCAGCGGTGTCTCACATGGGCCCGTCACGCGAGACCCGCCTTTTCCTTTAAGGTATTAGAGATTAGAGATAGAGACAAGTGGACCCCCCGCAGCTACGCCCGTGGTGCACAGCATGGGCCCATGGAAAACAGCCGAAATAAGCATTGCAGAGATCGTTGAGAGGAGAGTTCAAGGGTCTCACGGCGCTACTCACCAAATGCACGAGATGAGAACAAATCTCCCTCCAGGACACGGAGAGAGGCACTGGCCACATTTTTGTCTTTTTTGCATTTGGCGAGCGGTATGGTGAGGCCATATGCGGGTTGGGAGGTACTTGGCGAGGGACACTGTGCAGGGTGCGGCCACACCCGCGGCTCACAGCTCAGGCCCGTTGAAAACAGCAGAAATTAGCATGATGCTCGCCAGAATGTGTTTTTTCTCTGATGGTTTCATGCTCATGTTTCCACCTATGCATATCTAAGGGAGGCTGAGCCCGGTTCTGAGCACATGATGCTCCCCACAAATGGATGGAGCCTGTGTTAAAGTTAAAAGAAGAAGAAGAAGAAGAAGAAGAAGAAGAAGAAGAAGAAGAAAGAAGAAGAAAGAAGATGTTCGCTAGAATGGACATGGAGGACATGGAGCAGGGACCGTAAGTAAGGGCACGTTTTCTTAAAAGAAAAAAAGAAAAAAAAGACCTGTCAACTAGAAAACTTGGTGCTGCTTCACCTCTAAATCATGCAAATGGTTAAGGAAGCAGGGCTCCATAGGATTCTTTAAGGCGTACTAAAAAAGGTGAGCTTTTCGAGTGATCTCTGGACATAATTGCGGTTAGATACATCTGCAGTCGATCGTATGTGCGATCAAATACATCCACGATGGCCTTGATTATGGTCACATACATTCAGGAAATTCCTGGTGTGAGTGCAAGTATGCACTTAGACCTATTTATTCAGCTTGCGGAAGAGCATCGCTTTGTGACAGCCATCTGTGACGTGCGAGTATACGTACCTGAACGATCGGGAAAGACGTATGGGTCCAATGGCCTCCAGGGCCCCTCAACTTCGAAGCGTTTTTGTATTCCAGGATATCGGAAATTTTGCTTCTTTTTCTAGTAAACTTTTACGTAGGAACTATGCACGCCTCGGTAGGCGCGCTGGAATTCGGTCCGGCAGTTGGGAGTTTCCAAAATTTGCGAGCACATTTTGTGGTGATGTGTCTTTTCGGTGCAATCATTCGGAATTCGTCCCAGAAAGCCCCGTGAATCTTCTGGAGAAATAGGAATCGGCGTAGGAATTCGCGGGTTTTCTTTTCTGCGCTCGAACTTTGCATTTGAATTCTTTTCCAATCTTGAATTAGATTTAGGACTTAGGCACGGCCTTAGTTGGACGCGGCATAGCTGTTTTGGTGCCTTTTTGGTTTGTGTCAGCGCTATGCATGCAAGCTTCCCCCGTCTCCCGCTGCCCCTCGAACCATCTTCCGTTCTTTTTTCTTCGCGCTTTCTTTCTCTACCTGTAAATGTTTTCCTTCCCCTCCATTCGCGCTCTTTTTCCTTCTTGCTTCGACTGAATCTTGGTCTTGGTTCACGCTGCTTCTCGTTCTCCTCCTTCCCGCCTTCCTCTTCGTACAGGAGGACCCTATCGATCCCCCCCCAAAACTTTAATAAATCAGGCGGTAGCGCGTAAGCAGGCTCTGATCCTCTTGCGACTACTGTCTGATTGGCTGCGAAATGACTTTCTCAGATCGATATGGCTCTCCCAAGGCGATCCCCCCTTCCCCTCTTCCTCTCCCATCCGTCTACCCCTTCTCTTCTCCTCCTATCTATCCCACTTCCTTCTTCCCACAACTATAAAACCCGCAAGCGCATCTGGAAACCTCTCTCAAATTCCATCAGTCAGCTGCACGGTAGTAGTGGATGGATGAGGTGGTGATCAGCTTTTGGAAAGTCCTGACAAGTTAGCTGCAGCTTGATCGCTGCGATGGACTGCAGGATCCAGGCGAATTCGCGCAGTAGTTGAGTGGACGGGGTGACGATTGCTGGATCTAAGTGCTGGATATGTATAGAGCGCTTGCATCCGCATACACGCATAATCATATATTTACACGGTCATGCATTCCCTCATGCCCACACAGTGCGACATACTGTGCAAAGGACAGACGTGACTGCAGGATCCGGACGAATTCGCACAGTATCTGTGTGGATGGGGTGACGATCGCTGGATCTAAGTCCTGGGCATGAGGGACAGACTGACTGCATTCCCTTTTGCCCACGCAGTGTGACAGACTGCCTGCCCCTGTAGTTATGATATCCACGATTTTCAGAAACTGCCACGCCTCTTTTATTGCCTTTTAAACTTGGCACGTCAGTGACCTGCCGGTAGGTGTTTTTTTTGCCTATTCCGGACACATTTCTGTCCGAGACATAGTTGCTCTTTCTTTTTTATTTGGCTGTAGACTCGTGTAGACCCTCATAATCTGTGGCCCGGAAAGAGAATCCTCCGGGGAGAACGGGAAAAAGAAAAAGCACGAGAAATCCACGTAAATCGGACAAGATAAGAACTTGCAATCCAAAAGGAGGATCAGAGGAATGAAGTCGGGATATTCATTCCAGTCCGCGAGCAGGAGGATGGTAGAGATGCTAGATCAAATCTTTACTACTCCCATCATAAGCATGTAGACAAGAAAGGGGGCACTCAACCAAAGTTCCACTGCAACACAAAGGGGCATACTCACAAGAGGACATTCATGGATGTGTTCGACTGCTATTTACGGGTAGGTGCAGTCTTGGAAGTCCTCGTGCGAGAATGGCCAAATTCTCCTACCACAGTGTTCGACAGCCAAAGAGAATGGTATGGACTAGGACGTCAAAGTTTAAACCATCAGTACACGCAGGCCTGGAGGCGCTGCAGTGTGCGTCAAGCTTTTCCGAACCACCAGCGGCACACTTTTTTTCTTCTTTGGCTGGCCCCACCAGCCATTGTGGCCCACTTGGCCGGAGCCATGAAATTTTCAGCATGGTTGACCAACAAATTTCTGCAAGGCTGCCGCCACATGTACTGGTGGTTTAAGGGCATACCAACCGTAGGACTTTCCAGATGTACCTGACTGCTATTATGTCTAGGGCAGCCCTAAAAGCCCTGGCGTAAGGATGGCGAAAATCTCCCACAGCAGTTTTCGACAGCCAAAGAGAATGGTATCGACTGTGACACAAAGGGCATACCAACCGTAGGACTTTCCGGGATGTACCTGACTGTTATCATGGCTAGGGCAGCCCTAAAAGTCCTAGTGTAAGGATGGTGAAAATCTCCTACAACAGTTTTCGACAGCCAAAGAGAATGGTATCGACTGTGACGCTAAGGGCATACCAACTGTAGGACTTTCCTGAATGTACCTGACTGCTATTATG